CTAACTCTCTTTTTTCTTCTCATGCTTCTCAACTCTAAATGGCCTTCATGCCTACTGCTTGCTTATTGACACAAAGTTGATGTTACAATCACTGTTATTGTTTTATCCTTATGGTTATTATTAGAACTGATAGCATATTAAGAGTTGTACAAAGATACATAAGCAAATATATGTTTAGATCAGTCTTACAACTTTTAAAAATCCAGGACCATTTGGGTGATTTTTCTTTTTTTTTTTTTTTTTAAAGAGACAGTCTTGCTCTGTCGCCCAGGCTGGAGCGCAGTGGCACAATCTCGGCTTGCTACACGCTCCGCCACCCGGGTTCATACCATTCTCCTGCCTCAGCCTCCTGAGTAACTGGGACTACAGGCGCCCACCACCATGCTCAGCTAATTTTGTTTTTGTATTTTTAGTAGAGACGGGGTTTCACCGTGTTAGCCAGGATGATCTTGATCTCTTGACCTCGTGATCAGCCCGCCTCAGCCTCCCAAAGTACTGGGATTACAGGCGGGAGCCACCGCACCCGGCCAATTTTTGTATTTTTAATGCAGACAGGGTTTCACCATGTTGGCCAGGCTGGTCTCAAACTCCTGACCTCAAGTGATCCGCCCACCTCGGCCTCCCAAAGGGCTAGGATTACAGGCGTGAGCCACTGCGCCCGGCGTGTTTGAATGTTTTTAACTTGGAAACGGGGACGTGAGCAGATATGAGTAGCAGAGTAGCAGGACTGTTTTCTATATTTCGGACTGTGGCCCACTTCTCAACAACCATCACTCATCTTGCATCCAGCCTGGGAAGAAAACATATAATCGATAAATGTCTTTTAAACATGCAAAAGGGGAGCAGGAAGGTGATAGTGGATGCTATGAGGGTAGAAACCGTGGGGGCCTGGGGACTACATGAAAATCTGCCTCAACCTCAAGTAAGAACTGGAAGAAAATATTTGTCAGAAGTGAATTGTAATAATACCTACCCTACCCTTCTCTCAAAGTGTCCCAGCTAACAGCAGAAATGAAAAACACGGAGATGTACCCTGTAAGGAAAGACATTCAAAGGCCTGGGGCTTACCTGATCTTGTTCTGTTTACCTTTTCTAAAAAATTCATAAAACATTTGAAAAATGTATCCATGTTGCAAAATGTACACTTAGTGCATTACTTCCAACAGCTGTATGTTGTTCCATGACATCCATTACCTCGTACTTACCCATTGTGCTGGTGATGTATATGGTAAGGTTGCCTTCAATATCTGGCTAGCTCAAGCGCTGCTGTGATGAACACCTCAATTGTAGTCACTTATGGACTTGTGCAAGAGCTTCTTAAGGGTGCACATTCCCAGGAGTGGAACTGCTGGGTCATCGGGAAAAATACATTCTACTACATTCTTTATTTCATTAAGTAGTGTTAGTTAATGCTCCAGAATGATTGTACCAGGACTTAACTCCCAATAGCAAAGTAGGAGGATTCAAATTTCTTCCTATCCTAGGCAACACTTGATATTACTCAACTTTCACATATTTGCCTATTGAATAGATGTAAATAAGTGTTTTTGTGTTTTAATGTACAGTTATCTGATTATAAGTGGAGTTGGATATCTCTTCATCTACTTGTTAGTCTCTCAAGGTTCCCTTCTATAAATTTGCCTGTTCATATCCTTTGGCTATTTTTCTATTGCATTTCTTTTTTTTCTCAGTTATTTGTGGGAATTCTTAATACCATGTATTCTAGATATTAATCTTTTGTTGGCTTCAGCCTTTGAAAATACTTTCCAATCTATCAACTTTCTTGTCTATGATGTTTTTTGTTGAACATAACAAATGTCATCAAGTTCATCATTTTTTTGATTTTATAGTTTATGCTTTGAGTCCTGTTTAAATGCTTTTCTTCTTTTTTCTACCCTAAGATTACAAATCTATTCTTCTGTTTTTGATTTCTATTAGTTTTATAGTTTCACCTTTTACTTTTAGGTTTTTTGTTGTTGTTGCTAATGTTGAGCTCACCTTTGCATATGGTATGAGATACAGGTTTAATTTTATATTTTTCTCACAGTGAACCAATTTCCTCAATATTATCTATGAAACCAAATCTCTGTGTTAGATTGGATTTTTGTTCCCAATCCTTCTTGTGTTCCTGGCTCTACAATTACACACCTGTGCCCTTTGGCATGAAGTTTTGCAGTACCTTCCACTATTGATGTTCAACTTGACCATATGACTGTTTGGCCAATGGAATGTTAGTGGATATGATGAGAGGAGAGGTGTTAAATGTGTTTGAATGATTTGGCTTGACCTCCTGAGCTGCTGGCATTGCCAGAAGGAGACATGTGGTGAAGACTTGAACCTGACCTGCATCCTGGAGCCAAGTCCAGCTGAATTCAGCTGAACCCAACCAAGTCTTAAGGAGCCCAGATGAGATGAGCTGAATCTCAGTTCATATTCAGACCCATAAGGGAGAAAAATAAATGACTGCCATAAGCCACTGATAAGTTGGGATTATCTGTTATATAATATTATTATTGTAGCAAGCAATAGCTGACTAACTCAACATGATTTCATCATGGATTTGTGGTGTTACCATGATCACATACCAGATTCTCATATGTAAATGGATTGTTTCTGAGTTCTCTATTCTGTTTCATGGTTCTGTATGTCTGCTACTCTCAAAAATGGCCAACTTAGAAAGAAATTTAGTCTTCCATGTGTATTTTAGAGTATGTTTAAATTCCCCAAATCTTGCTACAAGTTTGGTTTGCATTGAATTTATAAACACATTTAGAGATAATTGAGATCTTAATAATGTTACATCATCTTATCCATAAACATTATATATATCTCTATTTGGGTTTCCTTTGAATTCCTTCAATAAATTTAAACATGTTAATTCCTGGATCCTTTATAGTTTTGTTGCTTGTATAAATAGTATCTTTTTTTTCTAGTTTGTTAGTGTAAGTGTGAATGAATACTTTCAGTTTCCATGAATTTATTTTCTTTTTCTTTTTTTTTTTTTTTTTGAGACCAAGTCTTACTCTGTTGCCCAGGCTGGAGTGCAGTGGCGTGATCTCGGCTCACTGCAACCTCTGCCTCTGATCCTTCAAGCGATTCTCGTGCCTCAGCCACCTGAGTAGCTGGGACTCAGGCATGTATAACCACACCAGGCTAATTTTTGCATTTTTAGTAGATACAGGGTTTTTCATCATGTTGGTCAGGCTGGTCTCTAACTCCTGACCTCAGATGATCCACCTGCCTTAGCATCCCAAAGTGTTACCACTTTGCAGGGCCATGAATTGATTTTCTATTTGGGAATCTTGCTATATCAATTGGGATTAGATTTGGCTACAAGTAATGCAAACACACAAACATAAACTAAAATAAAAGTGTCATGATGAGACAGAGGTTTATTCAAGAAATTAAAGAAGATTGGTGGGTAGGTACCTCAGGGCTGGTACTGCTATAGCAGGCATCTTCTGTCTTGCTGCTCTGCCATGTGTGGCTTCCCTATCCAAGGTCAGCTTATGATCTAAGATGACTGCTAACACTGCAGCCATTATGTCTGCATTCTAGGTGACAGGAAAGAGGATGAAGGCACACTTTCTCCCTTTCTGCTTACAACCCGTTGCCTGGGACATGACAATACCTAGCTGCAAGGGAGGCTGACAAATGTTGTTTTTCTTCTGGTTGGCCCTGTGCCCTGCTAAAAAACCTAGTATTATGGAAGAAGGGGAGAGCAACATCTCTGTCAGGTCACCTTGCTGAATGCTTATTATTTCTAGTAGCTTGTTGTTTCTATTGGACGTTTTATGTGGTTAATCATATTACTGCAAACAACCCAAATTTTGTTTCCTTCCTTCTAATTCTTCTATTTAATTTCCTCTTCCTTTAAAAAATATCATTCTGTTAGCCAGAACTTTCAGCATCATATTAAATAGTAGAGGCAATATTATCTTGATCTCAACCTTATGTGGAATGTGTTTAAAGTTAATCCATTAAGTAATGTACTTGCTGTACATTTTGGTCCTTTATAAGGTTAAGTAAATTTCCTTCTATTCCTAATCTTATACAAGTTTTTATCATTAATAAGTGATATACTCTCTCAAATGCTTTTTCTTAGTCTTTTGAGATGGATTATATTGATAGGCTTTCTGATGTTAAATCATACTTGAATTTCTGGAGTAAACTCTACCTGATTTATTAGGTTTTCAAGATAGAGGACTAGATAGGTGGCTAGTCAGATAAATGCATTCTAAAGACAGGGAAATAAGTTTTAAGGTTTCTCCTAGCTCACTGTAATAAGCATGTTGGATTTAGTTTGCTAATATTTTACCTGTAATTTTTGCATCTATGTTCATAAGTGAAATGGGCCTATTCTTTTCTTGATCTGCTCTTTTCTCAGATTGAGAATCTAATTTGGCTGTGCAGGTTTAAAAAAATTTTTTTTCCTCTACTTTCTCTTGCTCACAATGGTCTTTTTCTCCATTTGTTTTGTAATTTGGATTGTGAGCTCATGTTTGCCTAGGCTTTATATATAGACATTCTATGAGGTCTGGGTTGAATCCTTTATCCTTGATAGAGTATTTGCTTTTGCTTCCTGATCTATGTGGGTAGTATATGTTCAAATCTGTTTAAAAGGAGCTTGGCTCACACCTGTAATCCCAGCACTTTGGGAGGCCGAGGCGGGCAGATCACCGAGGTCAGGAGATCGAGACCATCCTGGCTAACACAGTGAAACCCTGTCTCTATTAAAAATACAAAAAAAAAATTAGCCGGGCGTGGCGGTGGGCACCTGTAGTCCCAGCTACTCGGGAGGCTGAGGCAGGAGAATGGCGTGAACCCAGGAGGTGGAGCTTGCAGTGAGCCGAGATCTTGTTGCTGCACTCCAGCCTACGTGACAGAGCAAGACTCTGTCTCAAAAAACAAAAAACAAAAAACAAAAAACAAACAAACAAAAAAAAAACGGAGCTTAAATCCTAATTGAGAAGATCAGCTACAATCATATAAATATATAAATAACAATAAAAAGGAAATCTTTTATTATCACATACTGTTTGGTTTTTTTCATAAGATTTTTAAAAAGACATGTAACTCATAATCACAACAGATTAGAAAGTAGAGATAAGCAAGAGGAAAACTAGATAGAAATGAACCAAATTCTGCTTATCTCTGACAAGCACACTTAAAGTCTCCCTACACGTTTCCTCAGGTTCCTGTTTTACTGTTGCATGTGTGTACTTTTGAGCCTCTCAAATAGATTGTAAGCTATTTGAGACACCAAAAATCTCATACAGTACTTTGTCTTTTAAATAACCATCACAGCCTTAGTACATCACTATTACACTACTAGTACATCACTACTACATCACTTGTACACTACCAGTACATCACTAGTACATCTCACTGTTTGGAAGAAAAATGACAGTAACACTATAATTGTTGAAATTAATACATTGAAATTTGCATTTTGAAATGTTCCCACATAGAAAAAATTGTCTCTGTGTATTTTGAGATCATAAACTAGTAAGCTTCTCACATATTACAATTCACAGACAACATCAATTACAGTGATTTTTTTTCAGACATATAAAATTTTTATTTGACTTGCCCATACTTCTTAGTGCTGTAGTTATGAGGTATGCTCATGTCATTTATGGAAGATTATTCGCCAGCTTCATCCTCTTTTTTAGGGATCACTCCTTCCCCACAAGGCCTGTGTGCAAGCAGTGTAGGAGAAATGTTCACAAAAATGAGAGATAGAAAATATAGGCTGGGCGCGGTGGCTCATGCCTATAATCCCAGCACTTTGGGAGGCCGAGGCGGGTGGATCACAAGGTCAGGAATTTGAGACCAGCCTGACCAACATGGTGAAACGCCGTCTCTACTAAAAATACAAAAATTAGCTGGGTGTGGTGGCGCACGACTGTAATCCAAGCTACTCGGGAGGCTGAGGCAGGAGAATTGCTTGAACCCAGGAGGCAGAGTTTGCAGTGAGCCGAGATTGTGCCACTGCACTACAGCCTGGGTGACAGAGTGAGACTCCGTCTCAAAAAAAAAAAAAAAAAAAAAAAATTGGGAGAAAGGAAATAGAAATAGATACACGTAAGAAAGGAAGAGGAGGAAAGGAAGAAATAAACAGGGGTTCTCAAATTTTCAAAACGAAGGAATAAACAAGGGTTCTCAAATCAAATATTTATTTTAGTATTTTAATATTTTAAAATGTTAATGTTTATTCAAGTCACCTGGGATATTTGTTTGAAGAGCAGATGTCCAGGTAAAGCCTACAGAGATGATAACTCAATAGGTCTCAGCAGACCCAGGAATTTGGGTGTGTCTTCCCTTTAAGAAACACTGGAATAAGGAGAGCACAAAATTAGAAGGCACACGGTAGGACCTGGAGGCATGCCAGTAACAACTGACACAGGGGCAGCTTCTGCCACAAGATGCTAACCCTAGGTATTTGCAGATCCTCTGAAAGATACTAGTGAATGTCTACTCAGCTACATACTACATACTACATTCTAGTGTATGAAGAAGATTCAAAATCTTCTTCAGGGTTATTCATATGTAAAATAATATTCTGATCAATTACAGTCACCTGAGTCATGAAATGACCTCACAGTGGAGGAAATAAGAAAGGGGCTTCTAAAATGTATCATCAGCACATGCTTTTTTTTTTTTTTTTTTTTTTTTTGAGATGGAGTCTCCCTCTGTTGTCCAGGCTTGAGTGCAGGGGCACAATCTTGGCTCACTGCAACCTCTGCCTCCTGGGTTCAAGCGATTCTCCTACCTCAGCCTCCCCGAGTAGCTGGGACTACAGGCACGCACCACCAGGCCCAGTTAATTTTTTTTCTTTTTTTTTTCAGTAAAGATAAGGGTTCACCATGTTGGCCACGCTGGTCTCAAACTCTTGATCTCAGGTGATCCACCTGCCTCGGCCTCCCAAAGTGCTGGGATTACAGGCATAAGCCACCACACCCAGCCAGCACATTCTTAAATGTAGTTCAATAACCCACTTTGGAAAAGAAGCGAATTTTTCCCACACGAGGGATCTAATTTGTTTCACTTACCACAGGGTGATCTGGCTAAGGGAACACTGTCCACTTTTTGCAAATCATGTCTTGGGTTGAGGACACTGGCCTTCTTGCACTGTGGAATTCCAAAGGAGTTTCAGCATACTGAGAGGCAACACATACACAAGCTGTGTGCTACAAGAAGTTTGTGGTACAGCTCATTTTTGTAAGTGGACTCAGGACTACTGAAAGAAATCATGGAGTAGGGCTAAAATCAGACAGGGAAAAGTGTCAGGCTGTATGTCTTAACAGGCCCAGGGGAATGATCTGTATCCTAAAATGACAATAATCAAGAAAGGTCCCAATATGACCAAAGTAAACCTTTGTGTTCACTTAGTATCGCTCTTCTGCATTCCAGACCACTGTAGGTTTCAATTTCATATATATTTGAAATATACACATATATGTACATACACACACACACGCGCGCATATGTAAAGATTTCGCTCACTTCAAGACTCCAAACCTAAATTATTCCTAGGTCTCTCCAGATGACTCCTTTGTGGAAAGGGGACGTCGGCTATTCTAAGTGAATTTGAATAGAGATACAACGTCTAATTTGCCTTTCCTTAGTTTCTTCACAGAAGCAATTGTCTTTAAGTCTCAAATAACGTGCAGAAATGCACCTGTGGGGAAGAAGGTGGGTTCTTGCCAGTGTATTTGCTTTAGTGAACTTCTCCATTCAGGTTTATTGGTGGTTACAGTTACAGTACTTTCAAGTACAAGGGTGTGGAAAGGGTTAAGGTCTGTAAAATGATTGCTGGACAGTAGCCAAGAAATTGAGAAAAGCCATAGCTCCTGGGAATCAGCAGGGAGGAGAAGATCTAGTAGTGGGTGCTGTGGAGCACTGCCGTCAGGGTTCAAGGTGAGCCAGTGGGAGGAAGAGCAGTGCGGGAGGGAGGGTTGGAAGAAGCTGAGGTATCGACATGCATTTACAGCTTCGCTCATACCAGGTTAAGAAGTGCCTTTTCCAGAAATTCAGTAAAGAACCAGGACATATTCAGGAGCTGTTTCGACCTGCCCACACCCTACCCCGACTTTCCCAGAAAACAGGCAAGCAAGCAAGGGGCAAATGTCACGGCCAAGCCTCCCGCCTACGGCTTCCAGCCTCCTCAGATCCCAGCGCACAGCCCCGCCGGACTTCCCCTGGAGCGGTTTCCAAGAGTGGGCACTGCGTGATCTGATTCACTCCAAATCTGGCTGTCCCTCGGGAGTGGGCTTTGGCCGCAGGGGTTCCCCGGCAGCGCCAGGCAGAGGCTGAGCAGCAGCAGCAGCAGCAGCCGTCTGCACGCAGAGTAAGGAGCCAGCCTCCGCCGCCGCCTCCTCCTGCCGGATCGGAGTAGGCAGCACAGCCAGTCCCTATCGCTGTCACGCAGCCAGCAGCGGGCCCCCGCCCCCCCCCCCCCCCCGCGCGGCCCCGGCCCTCACACTGTTATTTGCGTGACTGACCCGAGCAGCGCGGGAGGGGAGGGCGGGCCCGGAGAGGCGCGGGCGGAGAGGGGAAGGCCGGCCCGCCCGCTCCTTCCCCTCAGGCCGGCTGCGGAAGCCCTCTCCTCCCCATTGGTCACACGCTCGCGTCCATCACTCCCGCGAGGCGCTCGGATTGGCAGAAGGCGCACTTCTGGAGCGAGGAGGGCCGAGTAACTCCGCGGGTCTCCGGCACCTCCTCCTTTCCTCCACCCCACACTTGAACGTCCACCCACCTCTCCCCACCCCCCACACCACTGCCCCCGCCCCGCTCGCGGCAGTGTCCTTAGAAGACTCATTGGGCCAGGGGTGCAGCCAGCCGCTTAACGAGCCGCGCCGCCATAGGTTGAGGCCCACGCCCGTCGGAACGGCGGGCCTCGCCATTGGGTAGCTCCGCTCCGCTCCCGCCCCCTCAGCGCCTGAGCCTCCCGTCGCCACCTCCCAGCCCAGCTCTCCCTCGGCTTCCTTACCCCGCCCGTCCCCGCCGCATCTCCCCTGTCCAGCTGGGCGGGGATTGCTGTACGACTCTGTAAAGTCTGTGAGTCACTGCACAACCCATCAATCCAATTAAATGTCTTGAGCGAGCCGAGCAGGCGGTGCTGCCGCCCGCCGCCGCTCGCCCAGCCGCGGCCGCCCCTGCTCCTGCTTGCAGCGCCCCTCTGATCCATGGCTGTCTGTCTGTACTTGTTACGGTGTAACATCCTCCTCCTCCTCCTTCTCCTCCTCCTCCTCCTCGGGAGCCGCTGCAACTTCCCCTCAGCCAGCCTCCTCCTCTGCTTGGGGACTGCAAAGGCATGGGATAGACCCAGAGCCACTTCCCTCTGTCTCCCCTCCAGCCCTCGCTCAAATTTCCCCCCTTTAAATTAAAGTCTGTTCCTCGCTCCTCGTCGTTTTAGAGATTTATTGGTCGGTCTATTATTTCCCCTGATTTTGTTTTCCCTCTGTGGGGCAGGGATCGCAGGGGCCAGTGGGTTTATTTTAGGGAGGGGGCGCTCCATCACCCCACCCCTCCGTTTCTCCTCCTCCCTTTTCGGCCGTGACTTGATTTCCCCGCTCCTCTGCGCTCCCAACCCTCGAACTCACCGTCCTGTACTCGAGTGACGCACAGACACCCCCGCCCACAGCCCAGACGTCCCCTCCCTCGCTGCCACCCCGACCCGTCTCGGAGCTGGACCGGGTGCCGACTTCTTCGCAGAAGGGTGAGTGCTGTGCTGGGTTGGGTGGGGAGGATCTGAAAAAATGTGGTGGCCGGTCCACTGTTGGGGAGGGTAGGGTTCAGGTTGTGGGCTGCAGGTTCCCGGTCCGGCATGGATTTAAGGTGGCGACTCCCTCCTTTCCTCCCTCCCTCACTCCCGCTTCCCCCGCCCCTCAACTCCTTATTCACCAGCCTTGCTGTATATCTAGGTATTGCCAGACTTCCACCATCGGGGTATTATAACGCTTATAAAACATTTGGTAATGGCATGCTTTCTGTCTTTAGGATGCTTAGTGAGCAGTGATAGCCACCAATGTGATCTGATAGATTCTATCACCTGCAAAAAGTGTAAAAGGGACGATGGGTACATTTTCTTCTAATTCAAAGTTAAACTTTTATTCAATAAAGGGGAAGCAAAAAGGTATTTTTAATTTGAATGCGTGGCGATAGAGCAACGATAGATCAGAGAAAGACAGATTGTCTAGTGGCATTGCTTAGTGTTTTTATTTGAAAATAGTTTTATGGGTTCCCTATTGAAAAAAATATCAAGTCCGTATCAAAGGTTATGAAGTCTTTGAACCTGTTGGAGGAAAGCAAGGTAAGATGGAAATCCAGCTTTACACTTCATCTTTAGCTCACCTCTGTTCCAGGGAGGCATTACAGCATAGTTTTAAATTTCTCAGTCACTGGACACAATGGAGCATGTTAAGGATTTGAGAGAAATATGGATTATTTCTCTTTTGATATCCATCTTTTGTGTACTTGATTGCTTGTTCAGCAATGTCATACTACAGATTTTTGTAAAATTTCAATTTGGTTTCTTGGTTGTCCATAGTTCGGAACTACAAATACCTGTCCATATATGCTTTATGAGGATGTTGCCATATGCATCTTTCATATTTTGTTTGAAATAAAAGTAAAAATTATGAGAAATAGTTGTCAGAATTGGCTCCTGAGGTTGCTTTTTTGAATTCAGCTGTTTTAAAATGGTGTTACTCTTTTGAGTCAAGTTCTGGGCTAGTTGTCCACAAGATTCAAATTAGGCCAAACCAAACATGTTTTGAAATATTAAAGTACAGGAAAGGCCTCTTAATAGTTCATTCTCTCCTTCTCTTTCAGAGTAACCAGAATAAGTTGTTACTAAATTTAATTTTAAAGAATAGACTGTTCCTGTACCAAAATCTGCCAAGTTGCTACAGAAAGATTCCTTTTTAAAGAGCAGAAATGTGTTTATGATCAGCCCAAAGTAGTAAAGTTGAAAAGTGACTTAAATGTAAATGCTGTCTTAAAGAAATGCTTGTCATAAGCCCCAAAACCTTCCAGAGTGTTTCAGGAAGACTTATACAAAGCCTTTTTGAATTAATACATTTTGTCATGTGACCTTTTTTATGAGTGTAAGACTGAATTATTGAAAGACCTCATAGCACAAGGGAGCCATGCTGCCAGGGTTTGAATCTTACCACCATCCCTCACTGGCTGTGTGACCTCGGGAACGTTTCTAACCTGGCTTTTGTGAGTTTTGTCCTGTAGATGGAAAGAATGACTTCTCAAGGGTTTGTTGTAAGGTTGCATGAGAGTGCATGTCACAGAGCACTCCATGTTAGCTGCTCCATCGTCACCAGCAGTCTTAGAGAGGTTTCTAGTATAGTGGTTAAGAGTAGGACCTCACGCTGGTTCATGCCTGTAATCCCAGCACTTTGGGAGGCTGAGGTGGGAGGATGGCTTGAGCCCAAGAATTTGAGACGAACTTGGTCAAGATGATGAGATCCGGTCTCTACAAAATAATTGGAAAAAAAAAAAGAAAAGAGTGGGGCCTCCAGAACCGGATTCCGTAAGTTTAAATCCCAGCTTTTCCTCATTATCTTTGTGACCTTGGCCAGGTTAGCCTCAGATTCCTCATCTGTAAAATGGGAATAATAGCACCTACTTTATAGGGTTATTGTGATTGCACAGAATGAGAGTTAATATATGCAAAGATATTGAGTAGTCTTTGGTGCATCTTTGCAAGTTTAACTCTTATGTGCCTTGCATATCTTGAAATATGAATGACTATGTTTTTTAGACAATTTTTTGTGAAGATAAAAATTATTGTTATCGATAAAATTTTTATCAATATGCCTGATGTTTTATGGGATTTATACTTTTAATCTAGAGTTTGTATGACCCTTTAAGAAATACAGCTACTGGACCAGGCACAGTGGCTCATGCCTATAATCCCAGCACTTAGGGAGGCTGAGGTGGGAGGATTGTTTGAACCCAGGACTTGAAGACCAACCTGGGCAATACAGCAAAACCCCGTGTCTACAAAAATTACAAAAATCAGCTGAATGTGCTGGCACATGATTGTAGTCCCAGCTACTGAGCCCTGGAGGTGGAGGCTGCAGTGAGCCGTGATTACGCCACTGCATGCACTTCGGCTTGGGTTCCTTTTCTTTTTCTTTTTTTGAGATGAAGTCTCAGTCTGTCACCCAGACTGGAGTGCAGTGGCGCAATTGTGGCTCACTGCAACCTCTGCCTCCAGGATTCAAGCAGTTCTCCTGCCTCAGCCTACCGGGTAGCTGGGATTACAGCTGCGCTAATTTTTGTATTTTTAGTAGAAACATGATTTCACCATGTTGGTTGGGCTGGTCTTGAACTCCTGATCTCAAGTGATCCACCCCTCTTGGCCTCCCAAAATGCTGGGATTACAGGCACGAGCCACCGTGCTTGGTAAGACCCTTTCAAAAAAAAAAAGAAAAAGGAAATTTAGCTATTGAATGAACTGAGTTGATCCCCTTTCAGTTAAACTTGCATTTAGAATGTACGTGCTGCTATTAAAAGTGTAGTACATATCACTCATTTGATGTTATCTGTGGTTTTCCCTTCTGTTAAACAGAAAACTCTTTGAGGGTAAGAATAGTATTTCATTCATAATTTAATCTCCAGTGCCCAGTACCTTGTATTTAAAGAAGCTTAATTAATGTGTGTGAAATTAATTAAATAATGCTACTCATATTTATAGTAGTTGAGTGACATTATAAGTGATATTGTAGAGAATACTATTATTTGTATTATTGAATTGAATTTTCACATTCTCAATTATTTTTGCAAACAGAGAATAAATGAGAGGAATTACAGTATAATTTACTTTTCATTATAGAACTATTTTTTATTTTCAAGGTTAAATAGAAAATAGTCTGAAAAGTATGCCTGTCATATCCTCCTTTGATACCTGACATGTCCAGTTTTTAATCATAAAATCTTCTGACTCCCACACTTTCTGTCATTAAGTTGGATGTTGTTAATGATTAATATGAATTATATGAATTGGATTTGGACTGTCCCAAAAATGATATGATGTTATTGTCTGTTACAGATTAATAATAATACAGATAATGTATCAACCTAATCATGTGAAATTTAAAATGGCATCATTTCCTTAGGGACCACATCCTTATTCTCTTTCCATTCAAGAGTGAAACTTTCTCTTGAGTAGACTTAATAAATAATTAGCTATTGAAATAGCTGCACTAAATAGTGTGGCAGGAATCATAAAGGAAGTTATGAAATTAGTAAATAAAACACACTAAACTTTACCATACGCTTAATATGGTTACTCACTTGGGGAATCTGTTTTTCAAAATAAGCAAAGTTGATGGGGCCTACCACCTGCCTCATTTATAGAATCATTCTATTTTACTTGTCAATAAAATCCAGTCTAATTCCTGAGCCCTCTGAAGTTATAAAAAGCCAGAATTATCTTTCATTAGAGATCCTTGGTAATAAAATCTGAATGCTAATCGACTCAGAATTGTTACAGTCTTCCATCACATTGTTAACACTTTTCAAACACATATATGAAATATCTATTACAATGTGGGCAATTTTGTGTATATAAATCTTTGTTTAACCAAATCATCACTTACCCTGTTTAGTTGAATATATTCCATTTTCATGGGCTAAAACAATTAATTTAGAAAACTTGCCCTTTTTTTGTTTTGATACATTTAAAGCAGCTAATCTAAAG